AAACAAAATATAGCAACAGCTTTAGATGCAACTCAAAAAGAGGCCATAATTTCTTTTAATAATCAGGTTAGGGAAAATCGGTCGAATTTAAAAAGACTTATCGATATTACGATTTATTAGGGTTCCCAAGAATTAGCTTTTCGCGGACACGATGAAACCGAAGATTCGAATAATCGCGTCAATTACAAGGAACTTTTAATGTTATGGGGCAAATATTATTCACAATTTGGCACTTTTTTAAACGGTAGCGTTTTTTCAGATACCTCAAAAACCATCCAAAATGAGCTTATAGACAGTGTGGCATATATTATTAGGGAAAATATAAGCAAGGACATTGAAAGTGTTTCTTTTTTTGCATGGGAAATTGATGAAACTACCGATATTACCTGTACATCACAACGTTCAATCGTTTATGATGTTTCATCCGGGCGCACAGCTGACGATTTGTTTAATTTTTCAATTCGTACGTGTGACACCTATAATTTTGGTCAAAAGTTAATTGCACAAACCTATGATGGGGCTGCGGTCATGGCCGGCCATTTAAATGGTTCACAAACTTAAATAAAGTTTATAGCTCTTCATGCTACTCACGCACTTTTTAAGCATTGTCATGCCCATGCCCTAACTTTAGTATTAAGCTAAGCGTACAACAACATAAACATTTTCGCGCCTCCAGCGGGCTTTTCTGTCTGTATATAGTCTTTATGACTTTACCCTCCCCTGTTCTCTAATGCACGAGCCGTCACTGAGTGAGTACTCTAGATGTTCAAGAAGTGAGATAAATCAATTTTCGATTCAGGAATACTTTGAAACATTCTTTTAAATCCGCAAAATCGCGAAATTTTTCCTGTGTTTGGTCCAAAAACCAAAAAAAGAAGGAAGTCACATTTTTATAAAGTCTCGAAATGTCGAATGATATGAACTGTCATAAAAGACAGATGAATTATTTGTAAAAAAAAACGATATCTTATAAATAAACTTCGTGAATATGCCGATTCCAACAATGATAGGAATACTTGTTTCATATTCCTGGCATATACAAGGTTATAATGAATCGTAATACGAAATGAAATGTTTTTGTTACATCTGAAGTAAAATATAAGCTATGTATGTGTAATTTTATAGACGTTCCCTTTCTCCATTATAAAATTTACTGAGGGTTAAATAAAAATTGAGGTAGTGATTTTGAAACCGTAACACATTTTAAATACATTTCTCACTAGAACAATTCAACTAAAAAACTCAATGATCAAACATGACTTCTAGTCGCAAGTTGAATGAGTACTGTCCTGTGGAATTGGAAAAGAAAAGGTAAACACAACAGGCGATAATGGGATACCATAAGAATTTAATCGCAATAGTTCTCACTGTAAAGAAACATTTTGAAAAGTTGTTGAAAAATATTTGACATAGTCTCATTTGAAATCAGTTCCTTCAAAAAATTTGAGTTGGGTGAGCGTGAAAAGTTTCCATTTAAATAATAAGTTATTGATATCAGCTTAAATTTCTATTTAGGTATCTTAATAACTTACGACCATCATTCGAAATCCAGTCATGCAAATGACGAAAACACCGCAAATAAACTGTACAAAAATTCCATTCGAAAATGTTGTTTCCATAAGTTCCACCAATCTGGAAAATGAAAAAACAAGTTGTATGATTTTTTGAACGCTCATTTTGAATCAACAGTGAAATGAAATCACTGCAGAATGTAACAAATAATATGTCGTGTTCAGTAATACTTTATTGTGACATTTATACTAAACGCACCGCCAGCCCCCGGTCGGTACCGCCGCAACCACTATGTCCCTGCATTTCAAATCTGTGATATCTTTGAAAATATTCATCTATATTGAATGTATAATGTATTTAAAGTACTTAATTGGATTAGAATTAATACTGTATTGCTTACAATCGCTTCGTAAAGAAGTAAAGGATGAAAAATGGTTATTGTGAGTTATCCCTAAGAGATATACCATCGTGAACTTTTTTGTAGACCTCTTTAAAGTGTACAATACTGTACTACATTATTTTGATCTATCTCGTAGGGTTCAGCCAGCGTTTGCAATGTAAGCACAGAAAAATGTGATTATTTACATCACATTAGAAACCTCTAAAATTACCAGTGTTTCTCTATTATATTATGTATGTTATATACATATAAACCTTCCTCTTGAATCACTCTATCTATTAAAAAAACCCGCATTAAAATCCTTTGCGTAGTTTTAAAGATCTAAGCATACATAGGGACAGACAGCGGGAAGTGACTTTGTAAATGAGTGAGTGAGTGTGTGAGTGACTGAATGAGTGAGTTAGAGAGTGAGTGAGTTACTGAATGAGTGGGAGAATGAGTGAGTAAGAGATTGAGTGAATGAGTGGGTGAATAGTGAGTGAATAAGTAATAGAGTGAGTGAATACGTGGGTGACTGAGTCAGTTACTGCATCAGTGACTGAGTAAGTAAGGGACTGAGTGAATGAGTGCGTGAGTGACTGAAAGAGTGAAATCAGTGAGTGAATGAGTGAAATATTGAGTGAACGAGGAGGAAAAGGTGTGAGTTACTGAAAGAGTGAGTGAGTAAGCAAGAAAGTGGGGGAATGAGTGGGTGAATAGTGAGTTAATAATAAAAAGGGCGAGTGAATGAGCAGGTGACTAAATGAGTGAGTTATTGAATGACTGAGTGAGTGAGGAGTGGTTGAGCGAGCAGGCGAATGAGCAAAAAAGCGAGAGGGTGAGTGAGCAAGAGACCGAGTGGGCAAGTAAGCGAGTGAAGGAGCGAGCGAGTGACTGAGTGAAAGTACATGTATGTGCGCGTGCGTATGTGCCTGTGCAGTGAGTACAAGCTTATGTGAATGAGTTAGTGAGTTATTGAATATGTAAGTTAATGGGTGAGTGAGTAAGTGAGTGTGTGAATGAATGAGTTCCTGAATGATCAAGTGAATGAGTGAGTGGAGAGTGTGTGAGCAAGTTATCGAGTGGAAAAGCGAGCAAGAGTTCGAGAGGGCGAGTGAGCAAGAGGCACAGTGAGTGAGTAAGCGAATGAAGAAGTGAGCGAGTGATTGTGTGAGTGGAAGTTTATGTATGTGTGCGTGCACGAGTATGTGCCTGTGCAGTGAGTAAGGGAGTGTGTGAATGAGTTAGTGAGTTATTCAATGAGTGAGTGAATGGGCGAGTCACAAAGTAAATGAATGGGTCGGTGAATGAGTGAGTTATTGAATGAGTGAGTGAATGAGTTAGTGATTCATTGAGTGAGTTACTGAATGAGTTAGTGAGTGGGGAATGAGCAGGCGAGCGATCGGATGAACAAAAGAGCGAGTGGGTGAGTGAGCAAAAGGGCGAGTGAAAGAGTTAGCAAGTGATTGAGTAAGTGTTCGTGTTTGTGTGATAGAGATTCTGAAGTCCGGCCATGAGAGCTTATGTTCTTATACAGTTCACCACGTTTGAACAACGTGAAATTTGGAACAAAAATAGATGTTTTTGTCTTCATTGTTTTCAATAAATTTACTCAAATTGTTTGTTCTGTAAGCTACATCATATATTTTTTGTCGAAAAATGTACAATAATCATTTTTGGGTTCACTAAAATAGACTTGTTTCCTAAGACGACTACCCTCGTCTCTTGAGGTTGGATAGACCTTGTTCCATACTCATTTCTTCACTTGTTTAGAGAGAATGAAGTCAATAATAGTCTCATAATTATTGTTGATAGCGATTTGTTTGACAATTTTTTCAATTTACCTTGTAATATCGTTGTAAAGAATGATACATTCCTTCAGCTCCTTTTGAACCACCTCGTCCCTCACCACGTCTTCAGTTCCTTTCCCTACATTTCTCAGCCTCTTCGTCAACATTCGAAACTGGCAGACGGTCAAGGTGATAAGCATGACACTCAACGAATCAAGATTTGTATTCGCCCATGCTGAAATGCAAATGCCGAAAACCTCATAAGACCATACCGCATGATAATGGTTTTGAACATCGAAAGGGAACCACATTGGCAGCGGCAACTTCTTTTCCTCTCCAGAGTTTTTGTCAATCAGCGGGAAGATTGCGAATAAGCTTACGATGGTGACGCATAAAGACCTGTAGATAGTAGTGAGTATTCTGGCACCTGTAACACCCGGTATAACAAATCAAATTTCAGTTTTTATTGGGTATGTATAAGGGCTGTACTTAAAAAAGAAAAGATTAACTTGAAAGGGGGCTTTTTCTCCCAGTTTGTACCTGTGAGTTAAATAACTTTTTCTTGGCTGCAAATTTCACATATGTGATTTATTCATTGATTTTTCAAGAGCGTTCGATTATGTAGATCACGAATTTGACTTGGAATGCGAGGAATTTGCTAAAGTCATATCTACAAAATACACATCAATAAGTCAATGTTCAATATGTGCAAAGACAATCAATAACAATAGAACAAAGTGTTCCTCAAGGATCCATATATGGACCATTTTTGTTTTCCAATTAATGCTTACGATATAATAAAGTATCTTCATGATCATACAATGGTACGTATATTTATACGTATAATAAAATACGTAAGTATAATAAAAGGTAAGACCTCGTTAGTCCTTAGCTCGCACAAGTTTCTCAACTTCTCAGAGTAGTCGTTCATATGGGGGCGACAGCTGATTTACGGAAAAACAGATTTTAAACAGATTCAAACAGTTTCTTTGAATAAAAAAATAAAGAAATGAAAAAAGAAAATGAAAATAAAAAGTTGAGAGATTCCAAGTCACGTTAGTTCACGACGTTTCGATTGTTAGTGTCTACAATCGTTTTCGGGTGATGACTGGACTGATTCCTCCGAGAGATGACTATTTATAGGTCGTTCGAGTACTTTCACTTATCCCCGCTTTCCATTTTCCGCTTCACTGGTTCCGTGGGAGATGACCGTTTGGCGGGAGTTAGCCATTTTTCGCTTGATGATGGGTTTCCATATGTTGCGTATTTCTACGCTGGCCTGGCTGAATACGTTGTTGGACAACATGTATGCGGCTTCCTTGAATTTTCTCCTAAACCAATGTTCCTCTCTGTGCAAGATCTCAGCTTGGGACCACTCGATGTTGTGTTGATGGGTCCAAACATGGTCTGCTATTCCTGATTTGCTGGTTTACCCTCGCTGTGTGTGTTTCTTGTGCTCGGCAATGCGAACATTCAGTGGTCTCTTAGTTTCACCAATATATGATTTTCCGCACTCACAGGGTATCCGATAAATGCAATTCTTAGAATCGCAGTCCGCGTTTGGTGGCCTGGTTTTCGTGAGGTTGCTACGGATAGTGTTACCGGATCTGAAGCAGGTTCTGATGTTGTATTTGGAACCGATTCTTCTTATCCTCTCCGAGAATCCTCTGATGTAGGGAAGTGCAAGCAGTGGTTGTGACGACTTCTCTTCCTTTCGAGGCTCCTGCTGTCTTTTAGCCAAAGTATTTTTTACCATCGCTTTGGAGTAGCCATTCCGTTGAAGATCAATTTTGATGATGTCTAATTCCTTCTCGAGACCTTCCTTCGTATTACAGAGCCCAAAAGTACGGTCTAATAGAGTCTTGATGATTCCTTTTTTAGTCGATTGATGGTGGTTGGATTCGTGGTACAGGTACTGTCCCGAATGAGTGGGTATACAGATATTTCCCACTTAGTGTCGGTCCTCTTCACCAAAACGTCTAAGAATACAGAATCATACAGTGAAAGCTATCCGAAGACGGGAACCTGAAAGAGAGAACGAATCTACCTATAGAAGTATTTATGGAATTACTAGGATGCTGTGTACAAAACTGTTATTTCCACCTGAAGGACGAATTCTTTACACAAAATGAGAGACTGCCAATGCGATCGTCACCTTCACCAGTCATAGCCAACATATATATGGAGGGGTTTGAAACTCTGGCCACTGAAGAAGCCCACAAGAAACCTCGAGTCTGGTTCAGATATGTTGACGACACCTTGTGGGGTTTTCTTAAGTCGCAGGTGTTTGCGAAACAGCCATAAACAGAGTCATGGAAAATTTGACGTTTCGGATGCGATATTATATTTCACACATAATGGCACCATTAGGTCTTTCAGAAAAATAAAAATTTTCAATATCTCACACACACTTTGTTTTGTGACAGGAAGCGCCTAATTGAAGACCCTATACATACAAATTAGCCCCCTAAGTCCGTTTACTACATACCTCTCATCGTGCTCTTGATAGCTGTTTCTTCTTCAGCAGTGATCCATGTGAAAGACGGTCTCCGCAACCATGCTTCCAGCTTTAAAACGGTGTTCATCTGGATATGAAAGTTCATCAATTTACACAAATAAGGAATTTGGGTCATGTTCCAAGTGAGTGTGTCCGCAAGCTGAGCCAAGTTGGATACTTGAACCAGAGAAAAAGTTAGCATGCCAAGTAGATGGCTCCAGGAGATTACATGAATGAAAACTTTGGCAGAATAGTATAGGTATTTGTACTTAACTTTCTCCAGAGGGTAGAATCCTCCTAGTGTCAAGTGAAATTTGTCGAGTTGGAAAGTGCTGCTCAAATCGAAGGTCTGAAAAAGAAAATAATTTAGATTTTCACTTATTTTTTATTATTTTTTACAAAAGTTAAGAAGTTGTTCACCCGACCCTGCCTTTTATCTCAATATAAGGAAATTTAGATATTTTTTGACAAAACAATCTAAAATCATCCATATCAATCACGCTGTCTGTTCAAAAAATGTCATAACCATATGTTATTCTTTTTGGCAACAGAAACAATCGAAATGAGATTTCTGATAGTATAAATATTGTAATGAAAAATGAAGGACTTCAAAACGTAAGTGAAGCCAAAAGTTTAGTTTTTATATTGGACTCCAATTCGAAATTTGAAAACTACATAAATCAGCCTGTTTGAAGGTGGTTGACAATGTTTCGTTGTGCAATTCATTGGTTCGCGTCACCTGAAGACGATTGTATATAGCATAGAGGTGTGTCCACTAGCACTAACATGGAGGTGTTTCCTTAGTTGACAGTGGCCAGTCAGAAATCCTACTGTAAGCGAAGGTTTTTCCTGGTCATCGCCAGATATTTCTTCTGCGCCAGCTTCCCAGGGTTGCCCAGGATGATCCTGGCAAGACTGCATCCTTTGATTTCATCCCATGTCTTTAGGGATTGAGCATGGATGTGACGTTTGGCTAGTTCCGCAATTGTCGCTGTCATCAGGCCGTGGGTGCCACTGGGTCCTAAAATTCTTAGTCCAGCCGCTTCATTGGCTAAAGAGTCGGCAATGCGTCTCACCGAAAAACTAAATATGCTGAACAATTGAAACTATGAACATATGTTTGAGACGAGTGTACCAACGTAAAAAAAACGCTAATCGAATATACGTAGCCCGCGAAGTTTGAACATTCACCTTATTTTTTAAAAAGTCCACAATACAATGAAAATATTGACTTACTTCTTCACCAGTGATTTCACAGCCTCCTACGACTGTAGGTTCGAAAAAGTAGACAAGACACTTTCGTATTGAAACGTTCATCAGTACGTGTATGAAAATATACATACGTGTTTCATGGCGGATTGGCAGATCTTTCTCTCTCTGTTTGATATTCTAATGAAATTTTATTTCTCAAAGTTGACAGACCTGTAATTGAAAACACATATTATTTTGTAATTCAGAGTGACGATGTTCTACTCTGGGTGGTTTTTGGAAAGAAAACTTATTACGTGTATGGAAAGATTAAAATCCAAATATTTTGTTAGAACTATCACTTTTTATGTTTCTTCTGGTTTCAGGGTTTGATGAATGAAAAAAATTGAGAAGTATGCGATTTAGGAAATTACAAGAACAGCGACATAAAGTATGTTGGACAGACCGAAAGATATGTGAGAATTCGTTTTAAAGAACACGTAGTTTAAGTTTCTAGAGTAGGATGTTTCTTCATCATTGAAGAAAAGGAAACGATCAGAAAGATCTGTACTTTCAGCCGAGATGAACTTACAAGCCTATGCGATAGTGAGGTGATTAGTTTCACTTTCTCCAGAATAAACTACCTCTTCGTCTATTATTATCCTACAACCCTTAAAATTAATTCAAATGAAATCAAACTTAACACAAACGAGCTATCTAGAGGATTATCCAATTTCTGGGGCTTTCTCAAAGACTTACGTCTGAAGAGGGTAGGGAACGGTTTACCTATCAAAAACCGCTTAATCATATCTCGCGATATGATTAAGCGAAAAACTGAAATTTCCAGTGCTAATTTACAAGATAGCCACAATATTATTTCCACTCAATTCAGAAAGGGCAATTATCAACTTCAACAGGAAGAAGAATTGAAATCAAAAAAATTGTGGTCCTTTACAATCACTTTGGTACATCTGCCTTCGCAGAAAACAAATATCCAACTAAAGCCTCATCTACTTGTGATGCACTGTTTGGAACCTTTGGTATAGTAATGAATATTACTGGAGTTTTTTCACAACACCAAACCGTTATTTTAACACCTCGACATGTGTTACGAAGATCAAGGGGGAGATCAAACTGATCTTCTTCTTGAAGATGATCACTTGGTGATCGAAACACGTGTCGAAGTGTTAAAACAACAGTTTGGTGTCGTGAAAAAACTTTAGTATTATTATTTAAAACCTTATACTTGAAAATAAACGTGCTTGGTTCGACCAATCCAATGAAATACACCTCAGTCATCGGAAAAATAAAAAAAGATTTAAAAATCCGCATAAATTGCGAGCTGGCAATTAACCATATCACATAGGTGTTTGAATGGTGTCCTGGTATAAGCTGTGGCTTCATCTGAATTCATTCCAATAACTATAGAAAATAATAGCATGATAACCTAAACTACAATATGTCCCTGGATAGAATAAGGCGATAATTTTCTCATCATAATCATTGGTACTCATCACGACGGTGGAGTGTACTCCAGATCACTAGGCCTAAAGATTAGATGGCGAATGGGAAAACATACCAGCGTGGTTCAAACGGAACTGGCTGGTATCTCAATCGCCACAAAAGAAATAACCAGGAAAGGAATTTCTAGCGATAACGTAACAATCTGCACTGACAGCAGACAAGCCCTATTAGCCTTGAACAAACAACGTGTTACATCAGGGCTAGAACTAGAGTTCCACCAAGATTTAGCCAAACCCTCGGTAGATAATAACATTATCCTGAGGTGGGTTAAAGGGCACGACAGGAGTAAAGGTAATCGCATTGCTGACTCTTTAGCCAAGAAAGCGGCTGGACTAAGAATTTTAGGATCCAGTGGCATCTACGAACTGATGACTTCGACAATTGCGAAACCAGCCAAATGTTACACCCATGCTCAATCACTAAAGAGATGAGATGGAATCAAAGGATGCAATCTTGCCAGGATCACCCTGGGCAACGCTGGGAAGCTGGCGCCGAAGAAATATCTGGTGAATGACCATGAAAAGTCTACGCATAACAGTAGGATTTCTGACTGGCCACTGTCAACTTAAGAAACACCTCCATAATATAGGGCTCGTGGACACACCTCTATACAGGATGTGTGAACAGGAAGATGAGACTGTCAGGCATGTCCTATGCGAGAGTCCAGAGTTATCGTCAATAAGAGAGTGTGTGTTCGGCGAGTCTTGGCCTACACCTGCTGATATAAAGGAGATGTATCCAAGTGTTCTGTCCATCTTCCTGGAAAGGACAAGATGGACGATGATCTAGGAGGACAACTCCTCGGAAACATGTACAATGGGTGACATGTGACCTGAGTGCTGTGAGCGTACACTCACCCTCCCAACTCTACAGATACAGAATAGCAAGATAACCTAACCGCTACAATACGCCCCTGGATCGAAAAAGGCGACAATTTTCTCATCATAATCATTGGTGCTCATTACGACGGTGGCATATCTTTTGCCAGCCGCGCTGCTGACAAGCCCAGTGTGAGCGGGCCTTTTACCCTCAGGGTGTCGGGTTATCATTTTATTGTTGCTTTATGAACTTTTTTCATTCGTTTCTATCTCTAGTCAGTGTCTTTACTTCGTTACATTGTTTATTTCTTCCTTGTAGAATCTTTCCTATCATGTCGTTCCAGGTTTTTTCAGGTCTTTCTCTTCTTCTCTTGTTTTGTGTTTTCGCTTCATAGATTTGTTTCACAGGTCTATTGTTTGGCATTCTCTGTATGTGTCCCCACCATCCTAATTGTTTTTGTTCTATAAATGAAATAATGTCTTCTATGTCTAGTTCTTCTCTTATTCGTNATATCACATTCCTTTATTGGCACACCGCTAGGTTTGCTTCGAGTATTATTCCAAGAGACTATTTAAAACGTATAATTGGAGAAGCCTTTCATAAAAATTCTACCGAGTTTTTTACGATTCTAATACGGAACGTTGATAGACTGAAGAGGTGCTCTGTGAATTCTTATTACAACTCATGTTTTCGGATTACATCCTCTCAAGAAATTCGTGCGAAATAAGATCAAAACGCGTGCACGCTTTTTCAACTTTGATGAATAAAAGAGGAGCTTGCGCGTTTTTTCACCGAATATTAACGCTCCGTCAGTCCATGCCGAAAGTCCTCTTGATTCGGTTATTTCGGATGGCGAGTAATGTGATACGGAAGTATCGTGCGTTGTGAGTTTTGAAAGGAGCGGTTTTTCAAGGTGAGTTTGTAATTTGCAGTGAGTATAGTACGGGACTATTAGCCGCTACATAGGCCAATTTGGTGATGGAGTTGTGGTCAATTGAATTTTTTGATAGACTTTTGTTTTGTAGTACAGATCATTTTCTGAAGAGTTCCAGCAAATTTGAGGGTAAAGGTTTCATTTAGTCGCAATCAAAGTTTCCAAATTGTGTTTTCCAAAATCTCCGAACTATCGATAGTATCTATGATAAAACACGTTATTACTGTTTTCAATTATTATGAAATTTCATTCGAAGAGTGCGCTTTTTTAAATTCGGCTTTCCAATGATAAGATCCTCTTATTGAACGAATATAATTTGTAACGGAGAACTTCATACAGTTGTAAAGAGACCATTAAAAAACTCCACCTTCAGTATCAACAATTCATATATGGAAGAATCTAAACTTTCACGGCCAGAGATAACTATATGAAGGCTGTTTTGCAGATTTTCTGGTCGTGGCCTTCAGATTTTCATGCCTGACGTTTCGTCTACAGCTGCGGTAGACATGTTCAAAGGCGTTGTTACAAAAATGGTCACAATTCACGAGCTAGTGTTCTGGTTGTTGTTTTACCTGTTGTATTCAACACATTAACTACTATTTCCGTACTGGGCGCTCTATTTATATCGTTCTTAATTGTATTAACTGTTCGTGCTCGTGTATAGTTCAAGTAAACGATATAGTGCAACCCACCTTCCAACAGCTTCCCTTCAATAATATAGTTAGGAAGCTAACTAATTCCGTTATTCAATAATATTTTTTTATTAAAGTACTTGGCAATATCAGTACTTGCATTGTGATTGCCAAAAATAAGTGTATGCATACAGCGACCAACTACTATCTCTTCAGTTTGGCCATCAGTGACCTTTTGCTGCTGACTTCTGGATTGCCTCTGGAAATTTACTCAATCTGGTCCAAGTATCCGTATGTCTTTGGAGAGGAATTTTGCATATTACAGGTACATAAGAGTTGGGCTGAAAAATTCGCAGGCTAACATAGAAAAAAATTGATGAATTTTTATTTCACTATTCAATATCGTTGCCTTCAAGAGCGATACAACGATTATAGCGGTCATACAATTTTTCGATAACATTAGATAGTTCGATTTATCTTTAGCCTCGAAATAGGTCTCTCAGTTTCGACGAATACCTCTTTATCAGCGCTGAATTTTTTTCAGCGAGTATTTTCTTGAGGTCTGAGAAGAAGTCGCTAGGAACCAGATCTAAAGAATATGGTGGATTTGGAAGCAATTCGAATTCCAATTCATGCAATTTTGCCATCGTTTTCATTGATTTGTGACACGGTGTTACTGACAGTACTCCTCAAATGGCCCTCAAATGGGGCCATTTTTCCCAATTTTGTTCTTCAAACGCTCCAATAACGCAATGTACCAACCGAATCATATTTAACAAGCCAAGCCTTGACTTCAACAATATTTCTTCGCCAAAATGCATTGCTTCATTTACACACGAACTTCTTTTAATCCATTGTCTTTAAACAAAGAAAAGTTGCTTCACTCAAAATGTTCTATCTGGCAAACTAATAGTCCGACAGCTGTGAAATTTGTACACGTGTCTTTTGAGGGTTAGGGTTGACTAAAATTCATATGGATTTAATACTAATAGCACCATCTGTGTGTCAGCCAATGAAGTTTTCAGCCTATCTAATACATTTATTGAACTGTAAAATCTGTCGACAAAAAATCAATGATAAATAGAAACATTGAATCATTTGAAAAGAACGATAATTATGAATTTATCAAATCAATTTTGAAGATGGATTTTTTACGTATAGAAGGCTACGGAAGTTTTTGTTTGGATCTTGGTTTTTTTGGTTTGTATTTGAGGTTGTCTGAATTGAATTTGTTTTGGTATCATGTACATTATCTCATTCGAAGACACAGTACTACTCAACAATATCCAAAATTACTACTCAAGAATGTATATAGAGGCAATAGAAATTCAATGCCATAGGTATGATTTCAATAGAGAAGAAGAGACAATTAATAGATATATAAACGATATAAATAGAGCGCCCAGTACGGAAATAGTAGTTATTGTTTTGGATACAACAGGAACAAGAACCACAGCACCAGCTCGGGTATTGCAACCGTCAACACATCGCCTTTGAAAATGTCTGCCACAGCAGTAGACAAAACGTCAGGCATAAAAATCTGCAGACCACGGCCAGCAAACCCGAAAAATAGCCTTCATAAAATTCATATGTTATCCAGAAATCATAATAAAAACTCATTCGTATAGTAAGACATTTCAATTTGAATGGAAACTTCATTCTGAATTTCAATGGAATCGAAAAGAATACACGGCGTACTGGTGATGCATGTATGCGCGTCAAGTGAGTCGGGTGATCCGGTTGCTGGCTCTGCGGTCTCTTGTCAAGACAATTTTTTTGCTGTTTTTAGGAATGAATTGAGTATACAGGAGATTATTAACAGAGACCAAAATATGAATTGAGACAATTTTTCATGCAATTTTACTGTTTTCATAGTTTATAAACATATACTTCTTTTGGAATAGTAAAATTTTGATATATACGGAGAATCCATGGAGAAGCAGTTTTTACGGGTGGAGCAAAATAGTACTGAAAATTAGGTTATATTGTTAGCTCCTGGTGAAACATCAGTAAAGGTAAACTGTTTTCTTCATGGCCGGGTTGAATAATATTTTGAGCCATCATGAACAATTGTATACGTTTCTTTTTTTTATTCTAGGCTTCAACTTCCCACCGTCATGGGCTTATAAACCGTCCAGAATGCAAAGCAGCCCCCACTTGAACCAAAGCCGAAACTCCTTCCACAATATATCTTCTATCTTCACCACAACTACCTTCTCAGTTACTCCTACAGAGGACTGGGGGCCTAAAAGAGATCCACTTTACATTGTACTGCCGATAACCACCATATACATTGTCATTTTCTTCAGTGGTGTACTTGGCAATATCAGTACTTGCATTGTGATTGCCAAAAATAAGTGTATGCATACAGCGACCAACTACTATCTCTTCAGTTTGGCCATCAGTGATCTTTTGCTGCTGACTTCTGGATTGCCTCTGGAAATTTACTCAATCTGGTCCAAGTATCCGTACGTCTTTGGAGAGGAATTTTGCATATTACAGGTACATAAGAGTTGAGCTGAAAAATTCGTAGGCTAACATTTTACTATTCAATATCGTTACCTTCAAGAACAATACAACGATTATAGCGGTCATACAATTTTTAATAACACTAGATAGTACGAGTTATCTTTAGCTTCGAAATAGGTCTCTCAGTTTCGACGAATACCTCTTTATCAGCACTGAATTTTTTTCAGCGAGTATTTTCTTGAGGTCTGAGAAAAAGTCGCTAGGGATCAGATCTGAAGAATATGGTGGATTTGGAAGTAATTCGAATTCAAATTCATGCAATTTTGACATCGTTTTCATTGATTTATGAACGATGTTACTGTCAGTAATTACTTTTCTCTCAAATGAGGATATTTTTTCCGATTTCGTTCTTCAAACGCTCCAATAACGCAATGTACCAACCGAATCATATTTATCAAGCCAAGCCTTGACTTCAACAATATTTCTTCGCCAAAATGCAATGCTTCATTTACACACGAACTTCTTTTAATCTATTGTCTTTAAACTACGAAAAGTTGCTTCACTCAAAATGTTCGATCTGACAAACTAATAGTCCGACAGCTGTGAAATTTGTACACGTGTCTTTTGAAGGTTAGGGTTGACTAAAAATCATATGGATTTAATACTAATAGAGACATCTGTGTGTCAGCCAATGGAGTTTTCAGCCCATCTAATACATTTATTGAACTGTAAAGTCTGTCAACAAAAAATCAGTGATAAATAGAAACATTGAATCATTCGAAAAGAACGATAACTACGAATTTATCTTGTAAACATTCTGAACTTCCCAATATTGAAGAAAATTGTCATAATTCTTTGATGGAATATTGATAATGCATTGGGGATAATTGAACTAATTAAAAAATTGATCCGACTGGAATAACTGTGAACTATCAACAATTTGAGAATATCGTTAATTTGGTCATTTATTCCATAAATGGCTTCACCAAATTATATCATCAATAATAATAATGTTTATTCATCATACAATATATGATACAGTACATGATACAAAACACAAAATGACTGAAAAAAAACGATTTATTTCCAACAGAAGTACCCAGTAACAGGAAATGCTATTATTAGAGGGTATACATGAAATAAATATTAAAAATAATGGATTTTTTTCCTTGTGTTTGTGTGACACTTTCATGTATTTATTTGTTGTATCTCACGTTTTGTAAA